GTATTGTTCCCTGCATATCGCGAGTTAGCCTGACGAGGTCGCGTTAGTTGTGCCCTCCGCGGTGCTCCAAACCCAACACCTTTGCGATGTCCGATGCCGTTCGGTCGGCGAGGGCCTACTCACGCCTACATGTCAGGCTAATCGCGACTGCGTGCCCTTATCATCACATTATGTACACATGCATGATATCACAAGACGATTCCATTTACTAACTATGTTTGAAATGTTGATAAAGGAAACTAAACATTCAGGAATGGAAAATGGTGCTGTGATTGTTGAAAGAACTGAAGAGGGTATAGAAATCAAAGAATATAACTCGTAAGCTATAATTACTAGTATCCTTGCATTAAGTGTGCGCAGTGGTCGATTCTACGACACTAGATGGCGCTGTGTCGCACATCGTTAAATGTGCGCAGGTGTAGCATAATGTTACGCAGAGAACAGTACATCGGAAGAAAATTGCAAATAGGCGCTAGGATATTATGATTGTAAATATCGCATTTCACGCGTTATGTCACGGTCTCCATGAATATATACGTTTTTACGTTTATTTCGTTTAGTGTCCATGACTACGATAAGTCCACAGAGGAGGTAGAGGCCCTGAGAAAGTCACGTGACAGCGACCCAACAGGTGACGAGGCGTTCACACGTCTCAGTAAAGGTATGGTGCTGTGTGTGGCGTATGCAGCTAATATCGGCGGCACTGCCACACTGTATGGTACATCGTCAAACATCGTTATGACGGGGCAACTGGAAAGGTAGTTGTTCTTTATTGATTTATTTTCGTGTTTGTTTCTTTACTTTGTAGAAATTTGATTCGTGTGTCTGGTGGGGAGTTTTGTAGAAAATATTCATGAATGAACCATTACTTTTGCTTGGCTGCTTTGTCGGACGTTTTGCACAATTTATTTGTTGTTGGTTTTTTCGTTTTTTACATTTCGTTGTACGAACTGCCGACAGTTAGGTGAATTATTTTCTAGTATCAATATTGTTTTCCTGTTCGGTGGCAGTTTATTTCTTGTAAACTTTCCTCACATTTATTTTTCAGTTCCAAAATAGTTCTCTTCTCATCAAAAAATAATGTTTTATGTCTTGCAGCTTGTATGGGTACGAGGCCGTAATTGACTTTGGCACTTGGTTTCTTTATGCCTTCCCAAATCAGTTAATCATTTTATTATTCGCATGGTTTGTACTGCAGTGGAGATTTTTAGACTTAAGGTGGGTACGTCCATAGAAAATGTGTATTTTGTCTGTTTTTCCTTAAAAGTACTTTCCGTGTCATCGCTGTTGGCCAGTCGAGTACCTCATGTATGAAATGTATTAGAGCGCAGCATAATTGCGTAAACCTATGCAAGAATAACAATCAACATAAAAAAAAAAACTCAAGTTATATACAATTCGGAAGAAGCCCAAATTGGAAACTTGAAATAAAGATGTTCATTAGTACCACGATACCAACTTGAACTTTAATTTGAGATTTGACATTTTTTTAATGAATGTACTATTCTTGGGTCATATATTATTGTATATTGATATGTTTTCGCTTTTGTCCCAAAACAGAGGTATTTTAAAGAATTGTCGGTGTGGATTTTCGACTTGCTGTAGTAAGACTACAAAGAAGGAGTCAGATGCACAACTAGTGATTCGAGAGCAGTACGAGGCAATGGGCAGTATGTCGTAAGTCTGAACAATGTTACATAATATTAATTTGGAAGAAGGTCTTTTGAATGTAGACTTGGTGGTGCAAGCCTCGGTTTCAAAATTTGAGACCCCCTAAGAATCCCATTTGAACTGCATCACCGAGGACGCTCGCTCCGGTTACTGTTATTGAGTGGTCCACCCATTAACAAAAATCACTCGAATCGGCGGTCGTTACGGACCAATTTTTCGCCAACCGCGCATCGTGCATATATATATCGCTTGTACGAACCCATATAGTCTGTTTAAAGATTTTACGATCTAAAAATGCAACTTTAACGATTGTCGCGGTATAACATCAATATGCACCAAGTGCATCAAATTAATAACTGTTCTCAGGTGTTTGTCGTCATAACTGTATGCGCTCCGATCACATGTTTGTTGGTTTCCTGGTTCGATGTAGCCTGCTTTTCTTCTTTTTAGTCTGGACATGTTGTTTGTATTTCGCTCGTACGGTAAGTGGATGATCCAATCTCCCTGTAGGTCTGTGCGCTTCACGCAAAAGTACCTCCGTCACAGCCAACCTTTAACACTTAACTACGCACGGTCATTGTTCCGCAGTTGTTTCACCCGAAAATGTTCCCACAAAAAAGTGACAACCGAACTATTTATTAATGTCTGACTTTTATAAAAACGTAAATGCGAAGAATTTTATCGCGGACTATGTTGTGCAAGGTAATGTTATTGTTAGTAAAATGACGCACGCGATACACTAAAACAGGAGAACAGTATTGTTTTCATATAGCTGGGATGGAAACATTGACAACTGATTCCTGGCTTGAGCGGATTCGGTTCCCCGCGTAGTCATAATTGATTTTCGGAACTATGGATGACGGTTATACGACGTTCTCATGCGCTGCATCAACAGACGCTATGACAGAGACGAAAGTGTGACCGCCCTGATTTTAGTGACGTTGGAATAAATTTACATGATTAATGAGCGAAATCTAGTCAATATTTCCAGACTATTATTGAGAGAGACGAAATAAGAGGCAAGGTACCCTGACCAGGCTAGGTTTGAGGACAACGAATATATTTTGACAAACGTGAAAACATTGCGATGTGAAAACCTGCATCAGACCACATACTCAACATTTTATTTTGTTATTTGTTAGTTGGGCTGAAGTAGTGGTACTCATTCACTTCGTGGTGCTGTCATTATTGTGGCTGAGTTACTCTCCACGATTTATACCTGGCTGGGCGTCAATCTTCGATCATGGGTAAGTGACTAAAACGACGTCAGCGGCCTATCCTCGGCGGTTTATCGGTGCTGAATGTTTAGTGGCGATACCAGCAACAATATTAACGGGTCGCCGTATCAAATCGTGTCTGATTTTGTTTGGATTGGTGTCTGATTCTTACGATCATACAATTATTTTTCTCAGATACGTCACAGCGACCACAGCCACCATTGCAGTCGTCGTATCTCTATGTCTCTTTCCCGCAAAGCGTCCAGCTTTTCTGAAATGTGGTAACGGGAGCGCGACACACATTATTCAAGGTCGGTGTACAATAACATAATAGCTATAGGCACATTGTTTTCACAACACACA